GTTGGGCTTAGAGACAAGGACATTTTTGCAGCAGTAAAGCAGGGAGATAAGTTAGCTGTTTTTCTCAGGAGCAAGAAAGACCTTTCCCAAGACTTTCTCGGGACATCACTTTGTTGCACAAAATTGGCAATATGACCTCTGTGTTGATAAGAAAATATTAGATTCACATCTTATTATCTGACAGTAGGTTAATATGAAAAATGCTATACTATGAAAAATGTATTTCACAGTATTCTAACAGATGCTGCTAGTATAATAGCCTAATGTAGCAAATGCACCAAATGTGCTTGAGCATGTTTTTGACACTATTTTCATAAGTGATGATATATCCTAATTGAAACTTACTAAAATTATGTTTTCTCCTCCAACTGTCATGAAAACATACCAAACTATGTGTTTTGTGTACCCATGATTTAGGAATATAAGATTTATCTTCCTTTTGGTTTTCTCCTCTACGGTTTAGAGTTAGATTTGAAAATATGAGATTTTTATCCCTCTGAATATTAGTCCTGTGAGCTAATTCAGTCACCAAGTATGTATTAATTCTCCTTGATTACTTGTATAGGCCAACCTAGATTCAAACTTGAAGACTTGTATAAGACATTTTTAGATTTATTAAATCTAAAAATCTAAATCTGTAATTTTTAAATCTAAAAACTTGTTATAGAAAATAGTATTATAGTCTTTTTTTTTAAACTCATGGAGTGAATCCCTTTAGGAATGTTCAAAGAAAGTCCTAAACATTTTTATTATTGTTAATTTGTATATGTTGTATCCTTGTATCATGTAATTCTTTCATTAAATCTTTTTTCTTGTGAAACCAAACACATAGTAGAAAAGTGTAAAAGGCAGAAATGTACAACCCATCTAACTACCATCCAGGTCAAGAAATAAAACATTACCAGTACCCCTCAGAAGCCCCCATGTCCTTCCTAATCACTATTCTCTCCCCACCCCTAGAGTTAACCAAAATTTTGACTTTTAAATTAATCACCTTCTTGCTCTCTTTATAGTTTTACTACCTATTCATGCATCTGAAATACTATGGTTTAGTTTTGCCTGGTCTTTATTTGGTTTTTGTTTTTTGTTGTTGAAATTTACATAAATGGAACCATATAGCTAAATATCCTTTTAGGTTCAGCATTTTGCACTCAAAATCATGTTTGTAAATGTAGTTATAATTAGTTTCATTGCTGTATGGTGTATATGTACTGTATGTACAGTATAGTTGCTGAATTATATGAAGTCACCACAAATTGTTTATCCATTCCACTCTTTGGGGTCATTATAAATAATGCTACTATGGACGTACTTTCATATGTCTCTTGGTAAACATTGCACATATTCCTGATCAAGATGTATGTATATATATGGAATTGACAGATATTATGGTATGTGTATTTTTAACATCTTAAAAAAACATATCACTTTACACTATAACCATTGGAATATGAGACTTCCCGTTTCTCTGTGTCCTCACCACACTATTGTTTTAGCCCAGCTATTTGTTGTGTAGTGTTAGCTCATGGTTTTAATTTCCTTTTCCTTGATTAGTAATGAAGTTGAACATCATTTCACATATTTATTGACCATTCTTTTGTGAAAGTGCTGATTCAAGTATCTGTCAAGTGTTTTTATATTGTGTTGTCTTTTTCTTATTGATTTATAGGTATTCTTTACATATTTGGGATTTGAGCTAATTGTGAAGTATATGTGTTTCAGAGGTGTTCCACCTTTGTTGTAAATTAACTGTCTATTATGCATGGATTACTTAGTGGACTTTCTATTTAACAGTCTCTTAGACATTGTTTTATCACATTGTCTTAACTAATGTACCTTTATTATAAATTTTGATACTCAGTAGAGCAGAGCCCCCTATCTTGTAATTTATTTTATTATTTTTATTCTGGTAAGAACATCTAACATGATATCTACCCTTTAACAAATTTTAAGTGTACAATATTGTTTACTGTAGATATAATATTGTACAGCAGATCTCTGGAACTTAATCATCTTCCAGAACTGAAACTTTATACCCATTGAACAGTAACTCTCCATTTCCCCCTCCTCCAGCCCCTAGCAACCCCCATTCTACTCTCTGCTCCTATGACTGACTATTTTAGATATCACATATAAATGGAACCACACAGTATTTGTCTGTGACTGACTTATTTCACTTAGCATAATGTCCTCCAGGTTCATCCATGTTCTCACATATGGCAGATTTCCTTCTTTTTTAAGACTAAATGATATTTCATTGTATATATATACCGCATACATTTTAGAATTAGCTTGTCAAGTTCCACAAAGAAACCTGTTGAGATCTTGATTATGATTGCATTTATTCCATCAATTTGGAGACAGTATTGCAAAATTGAACCTCATAATTCATTAACACAGTATATATAGCACTTCTGAATTTCTCTCAATAATAGTCATAGTTTTCTGTATAGAGGCCTTGCATGTCATTTGTACATTTATTCCTAGATATTTTATATTTTATGTTGTAATAAATGTTATTTTGAACTAAATGTTATTTTCGGATTTGTTCCTGGTATACAGCAATATATGGATTCTTAAATTTTACCTTTGCAGGCGACTGTAATACCTCTGTGGAGTTGATTAGATTTCACATGTGCATAACTATATAGTATGCATATAAGGACAGTCCAAGTCATTATACCTTTCATTTCATTTTATTGCCTTTCATAAGGCTAGGACCTTCACTGGCTGGAACCTCCAGTGCAGTGCTGATTAGAAGTGGTAATAGTTGACATCCTTGTCACATCCCCAATTTCAAAGGGGAAACATTAAAAAAAAATTAAGTATGATGTTACATGTTGCTCGATTTGGTTTGCTCAGCATTTATTTAGAGTTTTAAATCTAAGTTTATGAATGAGAAAATCCTGTAATTTTTTAATACTGTCCTTGTCGGGTTTTGGTTTTAAGGTTTTGCTAGTTTCTTACAGGAAACTGGGGAGTGTTTCCTCTTTTCCTGTTATCTGAAAGAGTTTGCATAAGACTAATATTATTAATTAGAATTCACTATTGTAGCCATCCGGCTAAAGTTTTTGAGTTTTATTTTGTTGGTTTTGGAAAGGTTTTTAATTGCAAATTCAGTTTCTTCAGTAACACTGTTCAGATATTCTATTTCTTCTTGTGTCCACTTTGCTTAGTTGTACTACTCTAGGAATATGTCCATTTCGTCAAAATTTAAAATTTGTTGGAAGAAAGCTGTTCTTACTCATTTTTTTAAAATCTTTTCATGGCCTATGGAATATGTAGTAGTGTCTTTTTTCATTCATTTCATTTGTGCCTTGTCTCTTTTATTTCTTAATTGGACTAACATTTATCTATTTTTATTAATCTTTTCAAATAATTTATTTTCATTATCATTTAGTTACCCATGGATTATTTATATTTGTTTCCTTAATTTCCAAGTTTATAGGAATTTTCTTCACTAGAACTTAGCTTGGATTTCTAGCTGATTCAAAAAACATTCTGAATGATTTCCATCATTGAAATTCATTTTTGAAATTCGTTTGCTTTTTAAAATTTATTTATTTATTTATTTGTTTGTTTTTGGCTGCATTGGGTCTTTGTTGCTGCACGCGGGCTTTCTCTAGTTGCAGCAAGTGGGGGCCACTCTTCATTGCGGTGCGCTCCTCTTGTTGTGGAGCACGGGCTCTAGGCACGTGGGCTTCAGTAGTTGTGGTTCACAGGCTTAGTTGCTCTGTGGCATGTGGGATCTTCTCAAACCAGGGATCAAACCTGTGTCCCCTGCATTGGCAGGCGGATTCTTAACCACTGTGGCACCAGGGAAGTTCCCGTTTGCTTTTTTTTTTTTTGCGGTACGCGGGCCTCTCACTGTTGCGGCCCCTCCCGTTGCGGAGCACAGGCTCCGGACGCGCAGGCTCAGCGGCCATGGCTCACGGGCCCAGCCGCTCCGCGGCATGTGGGATCCTCCCGGACCGGGGCATGAACCCGTGTCCCCTGCAACGGCAGGCGGACTCTCAACCACTGCGCCACCAGAGAAGCCCCCGTTTGCTTTCTTAATAAATATTTTTGTAAAAACTCCACTGCATGCTTGAGAAAATGTATGCTTTGTAGCTGTAGGATGGAGTGTTCTGCATATTACCATTAGGTCAGTTTTACTTATTGTGATATTCGAATCTTCTACATCATTACTGTATTTATTTGCCTGCTTGTTTGGTCAGTTACTGAAAGGAGTATGTGGACAACCCCACTGGTTGTGGATTTGCCTATTTCTCTTTCTAGTTCTGGCAATTTTTGCTTCTTTTATTTTAAGCCCATGTTATTAAATAATGCAAATTTGGAATTACTTTATCTTCCTGGTAAGTTTGCAGTTTTATCATTATTGAGTGTACCTCTTTATCTCTAGTAATAGTTACTGCCTTAAAGCTAACCTTGGCTGATACTAATACAGTTACACCGATTTTCTTTTGGTTCTTATTTGCATGGTAAATATTTTCCCACCCTCTTTTTTTCAATTTCTGTATATCAGTGTTTTACATATTGACTTATAAGTAGCAGATTTTGTGTTTATTTAATCAAAGTCTGCCAGTCTTTGTCTTTAAAGGACACTTAAGACATTTACATTTAATGTAATTGAGTCTGAATCTGTGTTGGTCTTTTAAGGTCAATACATCTTTTAAACAATTTTTTTACATTCAGGAAAGAGTTCATTGGCACCTGTGAGTTTAAGAAATTTATCTTCTCTGATTTGTATCCAAACATGCAAGAATTTATGAGACCTTCTCATCTCCTGTCATTCCTTTGACTGCTGTATAATGAAAAGAGATCCAGGAACTAAAATATGCTAAGAACATTTCTAATCTAGTGTTTTGGGAATTTTGCTTACAACTCTTGTTTTTTTCATGACTTATCTACCTAATTCCAATAAACAGGGCATTACCAATGTATCTATTAATAGATCTTTTTTTTACAAAATACTATAAAGATTTCATGTTTGATTGCAGGGCTGTAACTCCCAAATGAGCGTGTCAGAAGTCTCCTGTAGTGAAAGTACATCCTCCTGTCAGTCTCTTGAACATGGCTCAGTTCCAGAAATTCTCATTGGCCTGCTTTATAATGCCACAACTGGGAGACTATCAGCAGAAGTGATAAAAGGCAGCCACTTCAGAAACTTGGCAGCAAACAGACCACCCAGTGAGTGAAAAATATTTTTCTTAATTCTAGTGTTTTCTGTACTTATGAGACTCGCAGTGTAGGGCCTTCAGTCCTATCATTTAGTCTTAACCAATCAATGCTGGCTTAATCATCAGCTAATCTGTTTCATGTTTCCTGTTTCCAGCCATTTGGGAATTAGAAAGATCTGAAATTCAAAACATTACTTGTAAGGTGGCAAGACTTTAACTTTTTCAGTGTCTGCAGAATGAATTAGCCCTGTCATAGCCATTATCTTCTAATGCCAGAAAAAGTTACAGGTTTTTTTTTAAAGGTAGTAACACTCCACAAATATGATGACGAATGCTTATAGCTGTTGTTTTTAACTGAAGATCGATGTCATGTTTCCCCTCTGCATGCAGTACTGTGAACTAATGTGTATACTTCTATATTTTTCCTTCTTTTCTCCCTTAACAATTTAAGAAAAAACTGTTTCTTCACATTTTTCCTCCTTTAAAATTATAAATCAGTACTGCCAGCAGAATCTTTTCTTAAATGGAATGTGCTTTGCTTTTACCAGGACAAACAGAATAAGGAGTAGTTTGATATTTATGCTCGATGCTAGGAAAGGAAAGCTAGATGGTGTAGATACCTCTGCCCTGTCTATATGCCTCTCACTCTTCTCTCTCCTATCTCTCTCCCAGCTCAGGAGGCTGGGGATAAGTTATGCACAGAGAAATTGTCATGCAGTATACCTCCAAAATTGTTTATTGTTATCTGTAGAAATAAACTGGGAAAGTAGCAGCCTCTTTATATTTCTCTAAAATTAAAGCTGTTAATAACGGCCTAAACTCAAAATTTGAAAGGAAATCTTGAATAATAATGCCAACCTTAAATTTGTTTAACAATTTCTTACAGACTTGCTTGAAGCAGTATTTCACTCCAAGTATCAAATAACTGTTGGAGGGGGAACTTTTTCCACCCTTGAATTAACTTTACTTCTAAATATCCTAAAAATTATTTTTTCAATCAAAGTGAAAAGTCATAAAAATATATTTAGTGTGCCCTCAGTAGTACTGGAAACCTCACTTCTTACATACATCATGCAATGTATCTGTCCCTTCATTAAACGTCAGAAGGCCAAAGTTAGATTTCTATTTCTACCCTTGCACGAGTGACCTAACTTCCCTAAGGCTGTTTCCTTATATGTAAAATTAAGGTTGTGTTTCTCACAGGGTAACTGTGATACTCAAATCGGATAAAGGCACGTAAAAAGGATGGAATTATTATTTGTCCCCTTTTTCCTTTCAGAAGGAAACATTCAGAGGGTGGAAAAAAGCAATTACTAGAGTAAAGAGCTTTGGAAGTGTGACTTGGTTATCGTCATTAATCCACACTAGGAATGCAAACTCAAATGGCCTGGGAAGTAACTTAAATGAGCAGAATTTGTAGAGGAAAGAGAAGGAGCATGGAGAGGCCTGTGATAAATGCAGGGGTGCATGCCCTGCCTTAAGACATTCAGATTCAAATTTTTTGAACACGGTCTATTATTTGGGGTTACATTTAGCCACAAGCTGTCAGTTTGCAATTCCTGCTTAGCTAATAGTTTAATTTTTGGACAAATCTTTAACTTGAAATGCTAGAAAGCAGCAGAATGAAATGACAGATTTGCCTTTCTGTCCTTGCTGAACCCACTCTGATAGAAACAGAGAAACACTAATCAGAACTAAAATGAACCAGGGGGTGGGTGGAGGTAGGGATGGACGATAAACAAGTTAAGAGAGATTTGCATCCGCAACATAGAGTAGATCTATCAGGTTAAAGAATAGGTTATAGCAATTTTCATTATTTTAGAATTAGATCTTCAGTAGTAGGACAGTTCATGGTATTAGCTGGGAAGTAACTAGTAGGTAAATATAAGTCAACATTAAAACTAATTAAATGAAGTAGGGTATTTATAAAGTAAAATATGACAATTTTATCAGTTTGTCTGTTGTATATAAGATTGTGACCCTTCATATATACCTAGGTTCTAAATTTTGAACTATGTTATAGACTGACTAATCCAATTTTTATCCCAAAGGAACAGTGGTAACATTCAAGAACAAAAATTTTGGTAGTTCTATTTTATTTTGCATAACTTAATTTTATATTACATTGGGAGTAAAAAAAAGTGTTTGAAGTGTTAAATATTGCATGGATAAACTTAAAAATTTAGAAAAATAATAATAATAATGATCCTTTAATGCCTTTTATTCAGTCTTTTATGGTCTGATAATTTGCATGATTCTATGTTCAATGTGCTTTAGACCAAGAAAATATCCTTATAAAGGTGTCCCCCTTTAAAACAGTGTAATTTTTGTTTAAGATTACACAATGACCTTAAAAATTCTCATTCCATGAAATTTACCCAACATACCCTTTTTTCAACCCTCTACCTGAATTAAAATGCTAAAGTTTTGTGTTCTTCCACTCCAGTGAACAGTGTTTCCTCTTTAATTCTAACCTTTGACCCTCTTTCACCCAACAATTGACATCTGGTCATTATTTCTTTTACTGCTTTCCACCCCCTGTTGTCAGATGGACTGTTCTGTTGTCTAAAACACTTGATAGGTGGACAGGTTTATATAATCCGAGGTGAGTTCCTGTAGAGGCTAATTGGATGTTGTCTTTTCATGCAAAAACAAAATACCCTAAAACTTGCCAGCAGTGAAGCTGTCCACCATGTTGATTTCCAAAAAAAATGCACATTTATTATCTGTGGTACTTTAAATAAAACTAACTTAGAATTTATCTCTGATTATGGATGATGGTATTCAGAGTTTCTATAAAACTAGCAAAACCTTTTAAATTAAAGGTTTATTTGTTCATTCATTATATTTTGACTCATAAGTAGAAATAGATATTTCATGAGAAATATTGCAATTTTCATTACAATTAATTGAAATTTTGATACGAAGTACACATGATGGATCTACATGCTGAAGATAATTTGCATGAGTCTAAAGAACTTGAAAACACAGTTGTTTGAAAAGAGGGTTTATCTCCCAAGTAACCAGGTAATGAACTGTTATGTTTCACTTGGTACACTAAACATCACATCAATTTTTTTTTTTTATAATTCATGAAAATAGTTAAGATACCATACCTAAAATTTCACATTAAATTGTGCCAAAAAGGAATCCTGTAGTATTTAACTATCCAAAAAGCACATTAAATGTATTCTTGCATGAAACCAGGAGAAAGTTTTACTTGATTTGCTAAACTTTGAGCCCTTAGTGCATTTGGCTTCATTTTGGCCCTTAAATGTTTTAAAAATATATTTAAAAACCACATCCATGCAGAGATTTTTTTGACATTTCATCCTAAGCTGTTTTGATGTCATCTTTGCATTCTTGTCTTTCTCTTTCCCTCCTTACCATTTGCCTTCATTTCTATTCGTTTGTTTATTCTTACACTCTGAAAGCACAGTGGAATGCTTTACAGTGTTGTGGCTAATTGAGCTTGCTAAGTGTTTATTAATGCTATGATGTCCTGCTTAGTGAAGCTAAACGGGGGTGGGGATGGGAAGGGCGGGTAGTGGGAGGTCAAGGATGGGGGTGGGAGGGTGGAGGAAGGATTATGAGGTATACCTTTAAATCCTAACTCTAATGTAGAAATAGTGAGGTTAAGATATTATTACCCCCAAAAGATTTGATGCCTACTTAGCATTCTCTGTACTTGTCACATTTTATTATCATTTAATCAAAATGGAATTATTGGATTTCTACTAAACGTGGTATACACCATATCCTTATAAAGTATAAACACTTAATCTTCTCAGCAAGTGTTAACAAGAAAGACGTTTTGAGTTTGTTTCAAATGAAATTTGTGGTATGTTGTTTTTTTCTATAGATACATATGTTAAATTAACTCTACTGAATTCCATGGGTCAAGAGATGTCCAAATGCAAGACATCCATCCGCAGAGGGCAGCCAAATCCAGTATACAAGGAAACTTTTGTTTTTCAAGTGGCCCTATTTCAACTCTCTGATGTGACACTCATACTGTCTGTGTATAACAAACGCAGCATGAAAAGAAAAGAGATGATAGGCTGGATTTCTTTAGGTCTGAACAGCTCTGGAGAAGAGGAACTCAATCACTGGACTGAAATGAAAGAGTCGAAAGGACAGCAAGTATGTAGATGGCACGCGTTGCTAGAGTCGTGATGACTAGGATTAATGAGCAATTGCAGTTCAAGGCAGCATCATTTCTGAGTACAACATTACTCTTCTTACCTAGTCACCATGGGAAGATCTATTCTTTGAAAAATCATCTTTAACATTCTACCCAAATGCTTTAAATTCTGTGGAAAGAACATCTAATACTGACATAAATGAAGAAAAGAAGTGTCTCTAGTAGAGCTTGTTTGAGAAAATGAGAAACTTTCATCTTTCTTAAACTGACAATCCTCCAGAGCTTTAAGAGCATCGTTTTGGTTTGAAGTTAATTTTACTCTAGCAAAAGAGCCAATAATTTTATGAAAAATCAAAATTATAAATGATTTTGAAAATTAGAATTTTTAGTTACAGCACCCTTTTAGGTCACCCTACATATACACAGGACATATTTTGACTGGCTCATCCCTGGTGTTCGTAATGTTCTTTAATATGAGAAAGTCATTCTCCAGTGTTGTCAATCGGATCTAATGGTGAAAGGTTTCAATCCCATTGAAAATCATTTTATTTCAGATATTTTCCCTTTGTGCACTTAGTTTTGTTGTGCCTCAGTTCTTCTCAATAGCACCAAATCTAAGTGCAAGCAAGTATTCATTTTCATAAGGGAATGTTTTCTATGTGTTATTTTAAGAAAAACTCACTTCTTCATTTGCCTCTGATTTTGCCTGATCCAAAGAGACCAAGTTACTGTACTGGTCCCTTGCAAGTCTTCTAGACAGGTTGTACTGTAGACCATGTAACTTTCTGTTGAAAGCACTTCCTGTATTCTTGTATTCCAATGTAGGAAGCTAATAGAGCAGGACTTCACTTTAAAATCTCTTTCAATGGTTGACTCTTTAAAATTGTAATAATGTGAAAATACATTTTTTACAAACTAAAAAAATATAGTGAATAAGCTGTTGAAAATTGAAAACAATTCAAGTTAAAGAAGATTTTAATCACCTGCTCTGAGTATTTAGTAACCAACACTGCATAAAGCAGGTAGCATTCAAATAAGAAACAGTTCTCTTCACTCTTACTTCAATTTGTATTTGTGATCTAAAGACTCTCCAGTTCTAAGTGTGAATCAGAGCATCATGTTAAAAACAGTTCTGAGATTCCTTAAGAAGTTTCTAGTGACTTGTGACTAGATTTTATGAGATTTACAGGTACGTTCTTCAGCGTGATGTCATCCTGTGCCTTCCATGTAAGTTAAATTTGCTCATACAGCTTGAAAGTTGTATTTGCAAAATTAGGCCTTCAATTTTTATAAATGTGAAGATTAGATTCCTCAGAACAGTGTCACAAGATCTTTATTTCCTCAGAAGTATGTAGAAGTTGTATAATGTGCTAATTTTTTTAAATGGCAAGGCATTTGTTGTTTTTATATTTAGGAACTCTGATTACCAGGAATATTATAAGCTGTTTTCTTTTTAATTTTGCTTCTTATCCAATATATAATTTTATGCATATACTTTATTAAATAGAATGTTTTATATATATGAAAATTATTTTTTTCTCTTTCTAATTTCTAGTTAAATTAGAAACGTACTATTTACCAATTACTAAAAAGCAGTATATCATTGTTCCTAGTCCCAACTAAGTACTATGTATTATTATAAGCTAGAACTTGTTATTACCATAATAACAAAACCATGCATAGATATTATTACTTCAGCTTGGCTGTACTGAAGGGCCTTAAAAGAAACCCAAAAGGACAGTGAACTCCTAATATTTTTTAGTTTAAAAAATGGCAGCTCTATGCATTCATACATATGAGTTATATGATAAAATACAAATGCCATATCAGGTGACATGGGGTTTAAGAATGTGTGTTAGAGAGTTGCATTAAAGGGAAAAATCTATTCTTTTATTATTACATTAATGAGCATTTTCCAGGGTTTTATAAATGAGTTAGGTTATAAAGTTAAAACATGAATCAAATGACAAAATATCTCATGAAAGTATTTTTAGCAACAGTTATGGAAAGAGATTGGAAGGGGGGCAGTAGATTTTACTGCGAAATTGGTTTTAGGCATTTGATGCTGCAAGTATCTTTTCTGGCTTTGAAACAACTAACTGCATTGCTAACAACTGGGATCGTCCTAATAATAAAAAGAGTTATCAGTCTTATCTGTAGCTGTAACAAAGCCTAATCAAATACATATGAGACCAGCTTGGTGCTTTCTCCTACAGCAAGGAAAAGAACACTAACTAAATGTTATTTGTTAAATCTTTCTTCAGACTATGCCCAGAATTGTGTGTGTGTGCTTGGATACATCCTTAGGGGTTTATCTGGTCTGAGTATATCAAATCCGGTATGGCCTAAAATTTAATCAACAATTTTTAAATATTTCAAGAAAGACCCTACTCCCCCCCAGCTGCCAAGTCCTCAAAGATTATGAAGTGTATGTATGTGTATCTGTATACACACACACACATGCCTATACACACAACATATATATACAATATGTATATGTGTGTGTGTGTGTATATACATATATATATGTATTTGTATCGGTGAAGGTGCCCTGGCTTTCTCAGATAACTAAATAGAAAAGCATTTATCAAGTTTATGGATTATTTTTCTCCTCCGTATGTTTACTAGAAATTATATTTGGTTTTGGGTGCTATTTGCTGCCATTCTCCTCCACACACAGCAAAATATGTATCTTTTTATCCTTTGGATTGACACAGCTTAGAGTAATTACTCCCCCAAATTTGTCTGTTATTTTAGAAAAAGATTAAATAGGGCTTAAGAGACCCACTCACTCTACTGAATCTAACGTACAAGACGGTACTACTGCTGTTTTGTGTGCTTGGATTTGCATGAAAGCTTAAAGGCAAGATATTGTATCTTAGCAATTAAAGCAAATAGGGGCCCACTGGTGGGCAGCAGGTGTTGTCTGAGAAACTTGAGAAAGACAACCCACTTTCTTATTATTCTCTGAAAATCCCCTAAGTTTTATAATAAAATGAGATAGTCCAAATACAGCGACTGACTGGCATTCATGGGAGCTCCTGAGCATGGAATTACAAGTTTTATTTGTCTCCCAAATGAGCTGCAACATGTAGTTGTTTATGCTGCCCAGGAAGCAAAGTATATTTTATTTTATTTTTGTTTATTATTTATTTATTTTTTGCGGTACACGGGCTTCTCACTGTTGTGGCCTCTCCCGTTGCGGAGCACAGGCTCCGGACGCGCAGGCTCAGCGGCCATGGCTCAAGGGCCCAGCCGCTCCACGGCACGTGGGATCTTCCCGGACCGGGACACAAACCCGTGTCACCTGCATTGGCAGGCGGACTCTCAACCACTGCGCCACCAGGGAAGCCCTCAAAGTGTATTTTAAATCAGAAAAGAATTTGTTTAGTATATCCTCTTACCTTTAAGAAATTTTCTTCCGTAATCTTATGTCTTCTGTACTATTCGCGTTTTGTGTGAAATCTCTTTGCGTATTTTCTTACTGTGCATTCAGTGAATTCTCATTAATATTGTATTTAGTGACAAAAATAATAAACTGAATCACAATTTTTAAAAAAGAAAAACCAGTGAGGAAATATCTAAACTACCCTTATTAATACATACATGTTTAAGTGTAGGGCCTGGTAGGGCACTTTCATCTAGTCTAGTTCAGAAGCCCAGGGCTATATGTTAAATCATTTTCTTGATACCATCATCATTTTCACTTATCTAGTGAATCAGAAGCATAATCAATGCTTGCAAAAGGGAGGTAGAACCAGTGGGGCAAGAGTTCATAGAACTGAGGGTGTTCTTTAAGATGGAGATAGAGATCAAATGATATCGTAGTTTTTCAAGTGAACTGAGAGATAGGCTATTTGAAAGTGTAAATTTTAGATGAAACTAGAACAGCAGTCACCAACAAATTTTTCAAGGTCTCTATCCAGCTGTTAATAGCGATAACACAAATTCACTTCCATGAAATTGCCATTTGCTTACATAGACTAGATAGTCTACTCATAGAGATTTTTCTCATTGATAGCTATTATTCAGAAGTTTTCATTTTCTTTTTCCATTTTACTGTCCCCGGTTCACCCATGACCTACACTGGAGGTGGCCATCAGTGTCATTGTCACCAACCAAACTCAATATTGAGCACAAGGTTAAACATACTATGGAGCACTTTTCTTAAATTCACTTTAAAACATCATCTGTATCCACCAAAATGTCTAATAATGATGATGGTAACCGCTATAATTTAGTAAGGTCTAGCACAATAATTTATTATGTTGATTCTCACAACAGTGGTATGAGGTAAATAATATTATCAACATTTTATAGATGAAGAAACTGCAGGATAGAGGTTAAACAGACTTGCCTAAGGTCATCCAGTAAGTAAATAATAGAACTGGGATTAGAGCCCACATATAAATTACTCTAAAACCTATATTATACATATTGCAATTGCATCCCTCTTTACTAGTTGCAAGAAAAAACAGGACAACATTATATTCATCAGTAATCCCACCCACTTTAATTGGATGGCAGCACTAGAAAAAGAGAAGGAAAAAACAGAGCTTGGGAAAGAGAAATACAAGGCAAAGAAGAAAAGAAGATTAGAGGGGTTTTTTGTCTTCTGGGGACACAAATGGTACTTTTGTGTCATACTTTGTAGATGACATATTTTCAAAGACTTGGGGATTAATTTACTCTGCCAGTTTACCCTATACTTACTCATATTCTGAAAGTGTATTAATCAATTTGTTCTCTTCCTTGTCCACTGTTGGGAATCCAAAATATTTTAATTGTACATGATCCCCTTTCTACCCTACGAAGTGGATAGCCTGTGTCCATGAACACATATCTTGCCAATACCAGTGGTGAAAGGAAAGACTTGTCTTCCTCTGCACTCTGACTGCAATTTAAGTTGCTTCTCTACCCTTTCTTAAGGTTTAACTGGATTACAGCTAATTTTATTACATATGTCTCTCCCCTCAGTAGTACTTAATGCTTTATCTTGTTATCTTTATGTGCCCCTTGTTCATACTAGGCACACTATAAATATTGACTAAGCTAAATTCCCTACGGAGGAAATCAATAATACTGTTATATGTCTCAATATTTATGAATCTTATGCATGGATTTATTTATGTCTTCATTAGTACCTACTATGTACCATGTATTTTTCTAAGTGCTACAAATGCAGAGATAACAAATTGGGTAGACAAAGTCTTTGCCCTAATGGAGCTTGCATGCTAAGGTGGGGATAGCCACAGGATGATATAACTTTAGCACAGCAGTACAATGTGGAGTTCAGAAAAATCTTCCTGGAGAAAAGAACCCCCGGGTTGGGTCTTAGAGAATAAATACAGATTAGGCTCCCATCAAGGAACTTATTCTCTCCAAGGGCAAAATTTAAAACAGTGGTTCCCAAATTATAGTGTGTTTAAGAATTATTTTGAGAGCTTAATTTGTATTCCAAAGCCCCACCTCCAGACATTCTATTTCATTTGGTCTGGAGTGGAGCCCAAGAATCTACATTTTATTAAGCTCCCCAGGAAATTCTGTCTGTGAGGCACTGGTATAGAATATTGAGCTCATTATATAGAATTATTGGCAGCTGTCTAACCATAGATTAGTTCTTGAAGTGTGATAGTGATAAAGAAGAGCAAGATTAAGACTAGGATTAGTGCTGGTGTGTGTGTGTGTGTGTGTGTGTGTGTGTGTGTGTGTGTGTGCTGCCTTAAAGAGAAAGATATTTAATGAGAAATTAAAAGTGATACTTAATTATGAGCTCCTGTGCATTCACATTCAAGATAACTTTTTCTAAGTGTTTCATGGTATAATAAATAAATTCTATTATGTTAGTTTTATGATTCCTGAAAATTACTTTGGATTATTTTCAAATATTTCCTTCCAAACTGTCTTTACAATGATAGACACAAGGCAAAGAGAGAGTCTGAGGAAGGTGTTTACCTAGTACATATGTCAATATTCTAAATGAAATAAGGCTGACCTTTAAGTATGTATAGTGGCAGCCATAAGTGGTGGCATTTTTCATTCTTGTGTATAGTAAGCTTTCTTGTCTTTTGTCATCATCCTGAATGGCTTCATTGTCATTACACTCATGAGATGAACCTCATTCCTGTACTCATTCCTGGATTCTTCACTAGAAATAGCAGTGTTTCTATCACTTCTGCTCTGATCTCTATTTCCTTGATTGCTTGGCTCTTTCTTAGGGTCTTTTATTTCAAATAACAAGTTAATACAGCAGCCTCAAGTCCTCCTTTTTCTCTAAAAATAAATGCCGTATATAGGTTCATCTGAGTTCCTATTTCCCCTCATTTATAATGTAGGCATACCTCCTTCTCTGGTGTAATATTTTGCATGAATGTATTTTACATTTTGAAAGTATTTTTCCCAACAAATATCTGTGATTAACCCACTGAAAAATGAGGTGATTTGAATTTTGAAATAATATGGTATGGAATTAGGCTGTTTTGTGACTGCTGCTGTATCATTGTGTTTGGTCCGATTATAGCTTGAAATCTGGTTAACATAATCTTAACGTGAAAGAGTTTGATAAACTTGAATTATTAGTCCATTATCAAAAATGAATGTAAGACTCTTGCTTTATTCTCCCCCTAATAGACAAGTATGTATCTTGCTTAAAATGTTCCTTCTTTCTTCCTCCCACACTTTTTTCCCCAGTCCTATTCATGTACATTCACACTGGAATTCTGAGTTCATCACAGCTGCATAATTCCTAACAAAAAGTGATACCCTGACTTTTTTCATTTTAATCATATGTGCTGGATAGTAGAGAGGACTGGATAGGTTTTCTCAGAGACTAGAGAGAGAGCAAAGCATGACCCTCTTTAGTCATTAAGTTTGTTGTATCTCTTGTGATGGTTGCTATTGTTGTTGTGCACCTAATCTTGAATAGTGTGAAGTTCCCTAATATCATGCTGTATGGGCTGGGAGCAGAGAAGGAAATTTGATTATTAATCTAACAAAAATATGGCATAATTTTATTGTACATAAAATTAGTACATAAAAATTTCTAAATAATTAATTATGAGAACAAAGTCACTGATGTGGCAGTAGTTTTGCAAGATGTTTGACGTTATTTCAATGTCATTTTGACAGTCTGCATCTCAAATTGTCCTATTATTTCAGGGTCCTTTTTCACTCTTTTTTTATTATTCTGATGACTGTTTGATATTTGAGTTTGTCTTTTAAATATTCAAGACTATTTTTAAAAGAAAAAACCTAACACCTTTCTGTTTCTTCCTTTAACATGTGATCTCTCACCTGACACTTTTTGTGATTAAAATGAATACGCAACAGATGAAATATAATACTCTATTATACACTGAAAAAATAATTATCTGAAATTTGTTTATATATTCAGGTATTGCTTGAATGCTTATTTCCATAAATCTAAGCGGTTAATATTAAATATGGCTATTGTATTCAATGAGAAAATTTTTTTCCCTTATCTCTGAGATTTATTGTCTCTCTTGGCTTTTACCTCTGGTTGAAGGCTGTGAACCTCTTGCCAGCACTTCATCTGTCAATTTCTGAGTGTGCTCACCTCCTCCAGATGGTATTATTTTCGGTAACAACCAAACCTTTTATACCCTCAGGGTTGGTCCTTACCAGTGATTCCTGTTCATAACCCCCATTAATGTTGATGAAAGTAATACATAAGCACCAGTAGAAGAAAAGACCCCTAAAGTGTAAAGGATCAATATCTTAGCACTCTGGTATAAGATGACCCCGTTAATACCTCAGTATGATTTCAGTCGTAATGGAGTGGAAGCCAACTTCTTGGAAATGAGATTTTAGATCATTATATCGTAAATTCTCTCCTTTTGGTCTTCTCTCTTCCTCCTCTAGCTTGAACATTCTTTTTATTTTAAATTTTGTGAGAAAGCCTTTTCTAAATTCCTGGTTTTAAAATTGTTCATGTTGACTTAACTGGGCACTTTCATAATTAAAAAGGAAAACTGAAGTAGATAGTGTCATTGGAAGGCTTTGGGCAGGGAGGGTGCTTGTTCTTGTTCGGGCATTCTGTTTGCATAAATATTGAGAATATTTACAACATTCTATAATTATGTCGCATTTGTTTTGTGAGGGGATACCAGGGTAGCTTTTACATATAAATTGGCTCTCTTAGTATTTACGTATATTTAAACAGTCCTTTGAAAC